CTAGCAACGAAAGTTCTCGATCTATCGCCATTTGCTCTGACCCAGCACCTGATGTCAAAATTTGGCGACTAAATGTCTCGTAGCAACTGGCCATTGTTCCCAGTTATTTGCAGCCACAGCTATGGCCTGTCGCGCACGATCCCGTCATGGAGTTTCTGTAGGTCTACAAAGCGGATGTAGACTGGATGTGCGAATTTCCTGTATTTTTCAACAGTCTGAATTAAGGAGAACATTTGAACAGAGATGCTTCGGCCCGACCTGAAGCAGATGCTGCACTTTTTATATCTTAGAGTCAGTTATTCCGCGCACCTCCTTTCTAGCACATTTTCATCGACTTTTTCCGGGAAGATCAATGCGGTAATGCCTCGATAATTGGAGGCACAATTAGACTGCTTAGTTTCCTTAATAGGCTACTGCCCTGATAACTGAAGCTCGTCTTACGCTTTCCTTTCTTAAGAAAGGTATTGCAGTTCCCGATCTCCAGCCTGCTGGTTCTTGCCATAGCCGTTACAGTTTGACAGAGGCCGCCAATACATGCCATGTTCGAAGCTTAACTGCAGCTTCTGTGACTTCATCTACAGAAAGACTAATACCTATTCCCTGCTGCTTTTCAGACGAATCTTTTTTGCAGTTTCTCTGGGTAAGAAACTCCCCGAAATACTCTCTTCCGAGGTACATCCTCATGCTCGATAAGATGGTGTCTAGACTTGTCCCCCTTCTTAGACTGTCCTTCTTTTCATCTTAGAGGCGGCGGATAATCTGCCCGAATACCTTGTTTGTCGTCTAGAAATTCGACTCTTACATCTATGCTAAACTTCATCCAGAAATTAGCTTTGACTTTCACCAATGCTTTCGCTGCCTTCGTGCACGCTTCTTCATGCCGCATGCGAGTTGCATACTATTTGCTTCTAAGCAGTTTCTTCAATGCTGCACTCTTCTTGGTGACAGGCAGTTGAACCTCTGACGTCCATCAGGGATGTCGTTTCTGACCTCCAGGTGGCAGACCAACCCATTTTATACCTTGGCTTTTGCCGGCAGCCTGGAGGAGGCGGTTCTTGAAGAGCTTCAGTTCGGTTGCCATATCAGTGGTCATCACAGAGATCTGTTTAAACCATCGTACGATGTTGTTATAAAGCCTGGTTCTTGTATCCGCAGGTGATCGTGTTTCCTATAGGATTCTCTAGTTAATTATGGCACTGTGTCTTCGCATGGTACTCCATCGTTAGGTAGGAAGGTTTGACCTACAAGGAGATGTTCAGTTCACAGCTCTGCGACTCTCTTCACGCGAACATCGATTACAAAGCGTTGTATGTCATATGATGCCGTAGTTTAGTCGATTATCGATTTTTTTGCACAGTCTCCCCTTTGCTAGATATAATGCACGCTTCGATGCCCGAAAAACGTGTTCATAACAGACACTCCTTTTTTATACAAAATTGCAATTAATTTCATGCTGTTGTTGTTGAAGTCACTAGGGCTGCTCCTTCTAATGACGCCTTTCCACTTCACAGTGTCTGGTCTGACACGCGCATTGAATTCGCTCATAAGAACGACGAATTCTGTAGTCGGCATTTCATACAGAGTAGCTTTTGCTTCCTGTAGGAAGGACTCGTATTCGTTCTCCAAATTTGACGCATGGACTTTTAACAAGATCAAAGCCTTAGCATATTGTGTCTTCAGGCGGTTCATTGCCACGCCTTCCGCTTACCGGGCTCCAGTGAATGATTCCGTCAGGCAGTCTTGTTTTTTCCAGACATCGGCCTGAGACCATGCCACGAAGTCCACTCCTGAATAGAATTGCTTTCACCTGCGGAGATTCAAAATGGCAGAGCTGTGGCGTTGATGATTGTCCAGCTCTGTCAAGTCAGTACTTTGCGACCGCATCAAATAGCTCGTTCTCTTAGTTATTAGATATTTTAATTTCTGATTGTAACTTTCCGTTGTCAGTGAGATTTTCGCCTGTCCCTATTTGTCTTGCTATAATAACGGTATGCCGTCTGCCTCCTAGTTTTAAAACTTTTAAAGGCTCTGTTGTTGACTAGTGTTTTAGTCGTGTTCTTGTCGATCTTCGACGGCTGTCGTCATGCTACTACGTTCCCTTCTCTCGCAGCATGCCTCAGGTTCACAACAGCCTGCACGGGTCTCGATAACCCAATCAACGGCAGTTCTTGCATAACGTTCGATCACATCAGTACCATAAGGGCCAGGTTGCTAAGTTTTACGGATGATCTCGCTGCGATTCCTGACCTTCTTGCTGTCTAATCCGCGCTTCAGACCCGCAACGACTCATTAGTGTATTATAAACTATCTTTTTATTCGATAACGCATGAAACCTCGGAGACCTGGTTTCACGGTATATTGCACCTTATCCCGTTCTAGTTGCCTAGTTATGCTTTTCAAACAGGTCAAAGCACCATGGTATTTGAACACCTGCAATATCAGATTCATGTCTCATTTTTTCGCTAGAAGTACCTCGTCCACCCTACGAAAGATTTCAGAAACTTGTTTTCATTATATGCTACCGCATATATAGGTGTGTTTGTATATCATACGTATACCAGAGTATATCATATAACGCATAACTCGTAGCCTGGATGCATTTTCTGACATTGTTCGGCATACCAGCATATTTTAACTCCTGTGTTCAGGTGTCAATTTAGCATTTGTAAATGAGTGCTCGCAGAATGCGCCAGTTGATGCTGTGGCCTCAGCCGTTTTCTTCTAATGTCCCATTTGAAACTAATGATATATGACATACATTCTCATATGTTTTCAGACCTGAAATAGTGTATACGGATTGTCCAACCGAAATTGGAAGGAAAGAAAAGAAATCAGGGTTACACTTTCTGCTGATCATTTCACTGAATAACCAGCATTCTGGTGGGTCAAAGCCAAATGCAGTAACAAGGTGCGTTCTCATCTCACAGCATGGCCACATATCTCATCAAGTTTGACATGATTAGACCTGAATGCCATACTCTCCCTACTATTCATAAGTCTTCGACTTACTACCTGTTTCTAGGCTGGTTGCGCCATAGCAATGTGGAATTAGTTCGCTGCTCAAGAGAATTCACAGTTAAAAAAATTTTGGGATTCTAATTGTATACCACCAGAGTTCAAAGCCGACCTTTTAGTCACCGTTCCACTATGCCTGAATGAAGGTAATTCACTATTTCTTTAGGTACATCCTCGATCAACCTTTTTCAACAATTTTCTCATCGTAGGTGGAAGCTTATAAACATGGCTTTTCTTAGTTGAATACCTTCGGTCCTCTTATTGCCAAAGCGCGCATCCTCTGGGGTAAGAATTACATGACTAATTTTGCATCCTAGCGAACAACATAATAATTAGCTCAAATTCGAATTACGGGAGTATGCATATTATCGTATGCACGATTCCACCCAAATGACCATGTTACTGTACCGCTATCTTTGTTCCTAAATGCAAAAGGAGCTTTTGAACTCGTGACGGCTCCAGAGTATGGACATTTTGCATCATTTGTATCTGGAGCATTACTTTGTTTATTGCAACAGAGCCTTAACTTTTTTAAATGCTTCCATTTCATCAGGCATCGTTGGGTAAAGAAATCCTGCTATAGCGCTTGGAAGCCTGTGTAAGTTGCGAACAACTAATTTCGGATAATGTTAAAGTAGAAAGAGTTTTCTGCCGCATCCATACAATTGAAAAAGAGGTGGCTATTTACTTTACAAAATGTTTTGGGGTAGGTGCGTGGAATTGGTTATGAAACAAGCTTGGAATATGCGCTGATTTCAGGAATGACTGTCTAAGAAAACTAGTTTATTTACCTTTTGTAAATTTATGTAGGAAAAATTCCTGTTGGTTCTTTTACACAGTTTTGTTTAAACTTAATACTGAAATTCAACAATTTTTAACACAAGAAGTGACCGATTGTTCTTATTTTCAATTACCATTAGTTTGTGACAACAATATTGTCATTTTTCGTAATCATGACGATAAATGTCATCAACCATGATTAAAATAAATACTTAACCGCAGAGTGGCTATATTTATGCTGGTAACCATGGAATCGAAACAACTTATTGCTTTCTGATTGCCTGGAAATTGATCATACATTGCTAGCAGATTTATTTCATCCATGTTGAACTATGCTGGTAACTGGTGGTTATCGTGTTTCAGTGCCATTACTAATTGTGTATAACTCACAAGTCTCTGTTTTCTCAACTTCCTGTATATAGCGCTGCTTTTTTCATTAGGATTTTGTAAAAAACAGTCCTCTCTTGTAGGACAGTGTTAATCTGTTAGTACTTACTTACAACTTTAAGTAATGAGAAGAAATTAAGAATTGTCTAATTAAATGCTAGAATTATGATATTAAGCTCTTATTCAGAAATATTACGTCAGCTTGAATAAAAAATGCAATATAGGGGTTACGCCTAACCCCTCCTCATCCCCCAAGTAACTGAGACCGTTATTTGTGTTTTATCAGCAAATGCCATCAATTTACTACCTCTTTTTACAATCTTATTCATGGATTAATCCATGAATAAATAAAAAATAAAGTGCAAAAAATTTTTCATTGTAGAGATTTGTATACTTTTGTTTTATACGCTAAGTTTGTGGAATATGAATTAGCGTTGTACTTTTTCAGATCTCCGTTGCCGACTTGCCAGGTCTCATTGAAGGTGCGAGCGAAAACGTTGGCATGGGGCACTCCTTTTTGAAACATATCGAGAGGACTATGTTGTTGTTTCTCATAGTCGATGCTGGAGGTTTCCAGCTGAAACTTGGTTCCCCGCACCGCACTCCTATCGAGACGTTTTATCTCCTGAACCGGGTAAATTTGGTTATAAGAATTTCATCGTAAACACGATTAATATATTG